TTCCCCGTTTTCCGCCTGAATTTGCTTCGACATTCCAATCTTCATTTCGCTCTTTTATCCAAATGGGCAACCAAAAGACAGTAACCAAAACCGGCGCACGAAAGTGCATGGTTAATGGTTGTAAAAACTGAACTAAACTGAACTGAAAGCTTTATGAAACCAAAGTTTCTTCACCCAGCTTGTGCATACCATCAGATCGGCCAACATGTTATCTTAGCTAGAACCCTTGATATCTTCTATTTAGAAGTATGTTTTGTCTCCGAAAAATGCATTCAATACCCAACTTTAATCATCACATAGCGATCCATTGATCGGACCTTTACGTGCGTTAGGGGATTCGGCTTCCGAAGCTCACGGTGTTGTTCGTGTCGGGATTGCGCTAAGTGCCAAGCAGAGCACTCACTTCTTGATTGATTCCCGGTAATAGTCGATTTGGCTCTGTACGCCTCGACGGCTCAGCACGTCAACATTTACAGCAAGAAACGTCAGTGTTTATTCTTCTTGACCGTGTATACACCAACTGATTGCTGTTCACCAGAGATAAAGGATTGATTCCGGAATGATCTTTGGCAACTACTGCAAAGTGCTCAGTCAACGGATATCATGGTAGTAGCTGGAGATTTCAGTGCTCATGTGGAACCCCAGGACGATTCAGAGAGATTTCTTGGCGGTCTACATGCAATCCCAGCCAACAGGACGGACAACGGAGAACGCTTACTGCAACTCTACGCTGATCACAGACTGTTCCTGTCAAGCACCAGCTTCTCGCACAAACTTCGGCACCACCTTACACGGAAACCGCCAACCTCCTCACAGGGATGAACTCAAATCGACCACATCGTCATCAGCTACCGCTGGCGAGGATCTATTCAAGACTGTCTTACTGGTCAATACCCGTGGACACGGACCATGCTCTTCTACGAGCCCGATTTTCCCTACGTCTGGTAAACAACCACAGAAAAGCCACCAGAAACGGATGCCGACAATTTGATAGCGATAGTTGCAAATCGGCATTTGAAGCGGAACTCTCTCGCCGCCTGTTAGTTAAAATTTGACAGTATGCGAATCCTATTAAACACCAGCTCACCAAGAGTCTGAGTAATGAAAGTGAGAATAGATAGATAGGAAAGTGCAGAGCGATGAAGAAGACTACGGATATTGGTTATACTCGCAATATTTTCCATCTAGTTAGGAGTGCGGGTTCAAGGAAAGTAGGTGTAAGTGAGGAAATTAAGGAATCTAACGGCACACCGATTCATATTCAACAATGTCGTCTTAAGCGATAAGCAGTCCACTTCAAGTTTTAGTTCAGTTGGCTCCCGTGGGCACGAAATTTCCCAATAACTGCTTCAACTGGGTAAATACTGCCGGTAGATATCAGTTTTCCATTTGAAATGGAGGCTACCCAAGAAGTACATTATTTCAAAAGGTATAAGGCTTTCAGCCTGAGCTATCTGTTCCCATCGGTTTTTAAGGATGGAGGTTCAGCGGTGGTCTTGGAGTTGAGGAAACTCCTAGACTCAGTGTTGTAGAGGAAAGAGGTCTTAGCTGAATGGTTTGAATCTGTTATGATACCGCTTTACAAGAAAGGTGACAGATTCTCTTGTGAAAACCACAGTGGAATTAATTTAATCTACATTGTCTCTAAACTTCTCGCTGGCATTATACTCTAACGATTGTCTGCCGCATATGAATGGTGCACGCGCGAGAACCACCGCTCTAAACTCTGGCGCTGCCTCACTCGAAAGAATGTGCTTGAGAAGTTTATTCCAATTTGCCGATCTCTTTATGATAACAACCGAAGCCGAGTCCGAGCTTACGGCATTTTTCGCATGATTTCACTACGGGAAGTGGTGTTCGTCAGGTTTACTCTCTGTTTCCGTTTCTATGTGACTTTGCCACAGATTTAATTTTTGAAATAGCCCTAACCTTGTGCGAGGATAGCGACATCAATTTTATTCCAGGTGGTAGGCCCAACCCTCAACCTAACCGGGGGAAGTAAAATAGGAAGTGGACAAATTTTGCCACTTGAGTAACTTTATCTCACCTGGTGTACGCGTCACAGATGAAGTGTCGGCTCGCATGCAGAATGCTCGACTGAACCGGAACTGAATATCATGCTGGTTTGATTAGTTAGCTCTGAACATTGTTTTCTATCAAAATGTGTGAGACGGATTATGAAAGCGAGAGGTTCAAAAAGTTTATAATGTTTTTACTGTGTGCTTAGTAAACGATGTATCCACCGCCTGATGGCTTCCTCTGTTTCGCTATTTTTTCACTCTATTGAAGACTGGTTTCATCCGTTAAGCCAGTAACCTGGAAAGAACATCTAGAATTCTATGGTTCTATCAGAATGTGGTCATCACGACCACTTATGCTTCGATTTAAATCATGAAAACCTCTCTTTTGTGTATTTCATCGGACGCTTTGATGTCCTCCGGCAGAAATCATGTATAAGTGCATCTTGTGGGAAATACGGGGTGGTGATGCAGTGGTTCAGTCGCTTTCACCGGCTAGCCTTGGACCCAATGGTTCGAGCTTCCAGCCCTACTACCGCCACCGTACTTTGGTGGTGGGAAGCTTTGCTGTCGTCTGGTTCAATATCACGTCTAACTTGGCGGAGCCATTATGTGGTTCGCCACTCCAAATCCCAGGGCTTGGGTTACCGGTTTCTATCACTGAGCGGCAGGTCCTCGTGGTTATAGGGTTTCCCCCGTCTGCTATTCATCACACTTAGGTGTGTAATAAAAAAGTGAAGGAACAGTAGCACGACTGTATCGCGATCACTGTTCATTGAGATTGAATGTTTTTCAAATGTGGAAGTTCTCTAAGTGGTTGTCATATTTCAGAATCTGGCTACATGTACCGTTCTTTGTCATATGTTCTAAAACAAAAAAAACCAACCATACATTCCTTCTGTAATTATCCCATGACTATAGAATACCGTGATTGGCGAAAAAAGTTGGAACAAGTTAAACGTCCAAAAATTCATCCACCGGATGCTTAAAAGTCTACACGATAAATAACTTTATACGGAAACCTGTTGGATTTTTTATCATCCGGTTTAATCAATTTCAAATTGGAAACATGGATGCCACTCAATGACGAGTGGTTTCTGTTCAAATAGAGTGATATGTAACATTATAGTTGTTGGTTTCCCTAAATGTACTAGACTTTTAATAATCTATGGTTTTCTCGGTACATTTTGGCTAATTATTTCTATGGTTCTCCATTTATTTTTTCGTTTCGTTCGTAGCTTTTCAGTTACCTGAGGAATGACAACTGCAAGTATTCGGGATGCTGTCGCTGCCGCTCTGAAGGAACATAAACCGTCGGGTCCAGTGTGTTATAAGACAGCTGGACTGAGATGTCCGGCTTCGAACCTCACTGGTGTCGCTTTTCGTTTCGGTGTACTTGCCGCGGTTCGATCTCTCGATCGGGTAGGTTTTATCTAATGTAGTGCTGATTCGTTGCACTCCAGGGTCAGTTTGTCGGTGTGATGGTGACTGCTTCTCATAATCCGTCCTGTGACAATGGGATCAAATTAATCGACCCCGATGGGGGCATGCTAAAAACCGCTTGGGAACCGCTCATAGCGGAGTTCATGGAGTGTTCGGAATCAGACGGTTCACACTGGATTGCCGGACACATGCGAGATCCAGAAAGTAGGTTTGATTCCCTCAATTAGTGAAGGCAATATTCCACTTCACTATACTACTTTCGAGTTGAGTGATTAGTGTGCTACTCGTTTACCAGTAACTCACAAAATCCTGCTTACTTCCTGATTTTTTTTCTAGCTCTGTTTCGATCAGTACAGTTTTTAAGCATCGATGTTTATGCAAATGTGTTCAAGTAGAACAGATTGCTTATGTTTCATCATTGGAAGAAAGTATCATCTTTTGGCCCTTGCCCTGTGAATTCGTTCGGACGTAACTTCGATTGGTCGTGACAATATTTATCCTCTTTATAACGTGAAGACCATGTTGCGAGGGGTTCAAATTGTTCAGTATGTGGCTTAATTTTATCGGGATAAATTGCCCCTCTCTTATTTTTTATGCAGACGGCGAGGAGAGGGGACAGAACATGTGCAAAACTCTATGAACTGAGTTATCCACCGAAACACGCCTGCCTCCATCAGACTATGAATATCAGATAGATTATTATCCCCGTTGTTGCGTTGGCACCAAGCTTGCTCGCAAGCCGGTGATATATATATATATATATATATATATATATATATATATATATATATATATATAGAACTAAGGGCTTTGGTTGAGAACCCTAATCGTTCTCCTGCTTAGTGGC